TGTTTATCTCTAATTCTAAATTTGTGCAGGTAGCTCCATCATTTTGTCATTTGACCATTTACCTCAGTTAAAACAAAAGAAATGATACATTATATCAGGCCAATTAATTTATAAGTGAATGCTATTAAAGGTGAAATTCCCTGGTCTCAGGAGGAAACTCGGGGGAAACAAACAACAACAACAAAAAAACACCTTTAAAGAAAAATGAGGAACAAAGGTGATATTTGGATCTTGGGAAAATCTGAAGGTCAAGTGTAGAGGAGATGGAGGTATATGATATTGTTATTTAATTTTTTTCTATTTCAATGTGTACAGTTAAACTCAGTATTCTTTTTCAAGATCATAGGTCTTTTTCAAAAAGATATTCGCTCTAGGAATTGGCTGAAATATGTATGTGAATGGAAGTGTACAGCTTCAGAATGCAAATTGCTCTTAAAATGAAGACTGAGAAAACCTGGAGAAATGTATGGGACCAATGGTTCCTGGACTTGGAGATTTCATACACTAATAAAATTTCTATCATTAAAAAGACATGAAGCATATAAGCTCATGATAAGGACTAGCTTTTTAAAAAATCAAATATATACCTTAATCAAAAGCTTCCTATATTGCACTTTTTACATTCCCATTAGCAGAAGGTAAAAAAAAAAAAAAGACATCCTGTCCGAACAGCAATCTCTGACCTAAATATTTAAAATATTAAGTACTTAAGTACTTGTCAGACCAAAATTCAAGCAAATTTTGCCTCCTTTTACAAGGGTGCATATAAAAGTTCATCTGACTAATCCCACAACTATTTGATATATATCCTTTTATATTTTTTTATTGATTTCAGAAAGGAAGGGAGAGGGAGAGAGAAATAGAAACATCAATGAAGAGAGCAAATCATTGCCCTGACCAGTTTGGCTCAGTGGATAGAGCGTCGGCCTGTGGACTGAAGGGTCCCAGGTTCAATTCCGGTCAAGGGCATGTACCTTGGTTGCATGCACATCCCTAGTAGGGAGTGTGCAGGAGGCAGCTGATCGATGTTTCTCTCTCATCAATGTTTCTAACTCTCTATCCCTCTCTTTCTCCCTCCCTCTCTGTAAAAAATCAATAAAATATATTTTAAAAGAGAGAATCATTGATTTACTGCCTCCTGCACGCCCCCCTCGAGCCCACATTCCAGGCATGTGCCCTTGACTGGAATCACACCCGGACTCTTTAGTCTGCAGGCCGACACTCTATCCATTAAGCCAAACTGGCTAGGGCTGATATATTCTTAAAATGACCTTCCAAGCATCTAGTTTTCAATATTGTGCCAATTAGTTTAAAATAAAGCTCAAAATAACTGCACTGTTACACTTAAAAAGTGAAATTGAAATCAAAAGAATGAAGATTAACCCCATCAATACCGAGACAGGATGTTGGATAACACCAAAATAGTAAATTGTACAAAGAGATTTTCCCCCTCATAAATGAAATGAAATTGCTGTGCCCTGTAGGTATAAGGAACAACAAAAAATAGGTGTACCAGAACCATATCTGACAGTGGATCTGTTTTGATGAAGACATTGTTTCAATATTCCTCGATATTTAATTTAATGAAAATTAAGGCTCAGGATGTTTTGTGAAAACAAACTTTGTGTAGTTGCTGGCACCTAATAATTTACCCAACTTAGGCAGCTGAAGAATGTCTAGATCAAGTCCCTGTTGTCCACTAAACCTGGGTCTGGAGACTCTCCAAGAATGGTGAATGGCACGCCTGCATCGTGACCATGTGTGACCTCTACCTTACTGGCTAGGGACAGCTGAAGATGTCTTCTCTTAGGGCTGACCCCAGGTAGGGCCATCCTGGGATGCATGGTGCATCCCAATCCTTAGGGATTTGGGTCCATCCCCATCATGCAGAGTCAGTGTCAGCTACTGGACAGCACCTTCAAGGTGGAAAGACAAAGCTAGTAATGAACAAGCTCATTCCGATTCCTGTTAATTTCCTCCTCATGGTATGCTCACAAGCACTTCACAGGTGTTAGACCCTGAAACCCCTTTATTCTTCATAGAGATGTATACCTGTGAGTTAGTAGGTCAAATGTGGTGGGTTCCCAAATGATGCTGACTTGCCTGCTAAACACAGCCTATGTATTGCCTTCCCTTCGTTTTAGATCATTCATGAGGAGGGCACAATCTAGGTTAATCCAAAATTAACTTGAATGCCCAACACAGTTTGAACCTATCACCCACGCATATGACATTCTCTGTTGAATATACAATTTCAAATTACATCTGTTTTTCTCAGGTGTGGTAATATTAAATGTCATGAGCCATGGTTAGGTTAAAATTCTGATTTAAATATTTTGGTGACCACATTTATGTACTCTTGTTTGAACACAATTCTAGTAGTTATTAAAAAAAAAGTATATATAGCTCAGATTTTAATTCTCCTATACCCAACTCAATAATTCTAAGTGTAAATAAACTGAGAAAAATGTCTTTGTTTCATTCATCCTTAAACAGTAATTTACAGTAATAAATGTTAATCCAGGAGGCTGATTTGATTGTTGTAATCACCAAAATGTCTAGTGAATTTTTTTAATTAAAAGAAGTGAATGAAAAGACAGTGGATATATCACACTTTACTTACACCAAGCACATTTACTTGCAAGAAGTGCATGCTATTCAATGTTAGTAACTGTATAAATGTCCTCCATGGTTCACTGAATCTGTTGTCTTCCCACCACCAACCCACCAACACACCCCCAAGCTATTTTATATATGCTGGGACACACCGGTAATAATCTGGACAGTCCTCTACTGTTTTTCATATCTAAAACAGTTGCTTGGTGGTTTTGTGTTTACATATTTCTCATATGCTGTGCTTTCAAGCATTAAGAGGTCAAATTTATTTCACTATAGAAACAAGAACCAAAAGTTTCAAAAGGTGATCATAGTCATGAATTGAACCCCACAGGTATATCTGCCTAATAATGTTTCACTTCTTCTTTCCCCAGTATTACCCCCTGGCAACGTCTTAGGTATGGTAAGACTGCAGGTCACTCCAAAATTGGAATTTTTGTTCCCCTTTATTTAACCATGTGTAACGTAATGCATAAGAACAATTTCAGATTCATCCTCATCTACTGTATTGCTGAGGTCCCTTTGGGAATAAGTTTTTGTATAGTGGCCCTTCTCAAATTCTATAGAGAATTCCCTATGTTCAAGTATGAAAACTTCCCACGTTAGAATATAAATTGTTTGAATTTATCACTGGGCGATTATTGCCTAGTCCTACTCTCCCCAAAAACCTGACAATTACCTGATTCAAGCATGAGCAATCTTTACAGTGGCTAGGCTTAAGTTCATGTTTAAATGCTTTATATTCAAGATTTGGTTTCTAATATCCAATTAGAAAAGACCATAATTATTACCAAGATCTAAGTGACAATTCCTTCTTTTCTTACATTAAAGAATTGATGTGCAAGTCTGGCCCCTCCATAAGCCACTGCTTACACCAATTCTCCTACCCTTTCCCATCTACAGAATCTATGAAACCTGAGCAAACTGAGCAGTTTGGGGGATAAATCAGGGTACAGAGGTGATTATCTGTTAGAACATACATATTCGTCATAATATAAAATTGCCACCAGATACACAAACAACTCAATATTTCAAAAGTTGAAAGGAGTCTTTCCTAAGAGGTCATAGAGCCTTTGCCCTCTTGTAGATAAAGCAGGGAAGTCTGGAGGTTAGAAGTGGCTTAAACACCATACAGGAGTGGCAAAGCCTGGACAGGAACCTGGTCACCATAAAGGCCAGCTCTGTGCTTGCTCCCACACTGCTGCTCCTCACTGCCTGCTCACCACTCGGGGCCCCTTTCCAGGCTCTATCACAAATGAATATGATGAATAAAGGGATACACCACCACTTACATACATACGATGTTTCTGTAAGATCTTAGGACTCTTTTCTTCCCAACCTTCACGATCAAATCTATTGTCACTCGCTGAAATATTTTATTCAAAATATTTCTTTTGAAGTAAATTAATCACACCCATACTTCTATAGGGTGCCTACCCATAGACATAGTAGCTTTTCAGTTTATCCTCTTCCAAGATAACGTACTGACACTGATGCAACTAATTTTTTAAACAAGTAATGTTCACAAAAATTTGAGGAGACCATCTTATACTTCTATGCAAATATATTCCAGAAAACGCCGGATACATTGCTCTGTGCTCCCCTGAGGTGACCGAGGAGGAAGGGGTGGCAAAAGAAAACCAATAGTCACCATTACTTCTTTTTAATTGTTTAACTTTATTACTGTTGCACCATTTATACAATTACATATAATTTCAATGCATCCATTGTACATTTTTTTGTTATTTTTTTTAAATTTTTTTTCCCATTTTTCCAATGAGTGGTGTGTTGGTGTCTGTGACACAGGATGGAGGAGAAACTGGAACTGCAATGAACGCAGACGTTTTTATTTTATTTTATTTTTTTCATTTCCACTGACCAATAAACAGAACTACAGGTGCACCCAACCACGGACATGCATTAACTCGTCATGAGAAATCTAGGGAGGCTAAGTTGGATGAGAGAATGTGTGTTACTCCCAAAAATCCCTGGGGAGGAGGCATGGAGATACATGTGGACAGGCTCCGTGGGCTGTCTGAAAGGTGGCATTCATCCACAGACATTTAAAAAATATCAAAAGAAGAAAGGCGGCAAATTAAAAAAAAAGGAAACACAGAAAATACTGCTTTCATAAAGATCTGATTGCCTTTGGAAGGGCCCTGCGGGCAGAATCAAAAGCAACGCTCCCTACTCCCCTTGCAGAATTCGGTACCCATCTGAGTTAGCGGCGGAGTACTTTCAGACATTGACCTCGAAACGCCAGGACTGGTTGGTAGAGTTGACTGAAGGTATATTAGATATTTCCCCACAAAAATACTATTTGGATTCTCCCCATCCCCCCTCCCTCCTTTGATGGGACATCTTTTTCATTTCATTTCTTTTTCTTTTTTTTTTTCTTGGGCAATACATATCATGACTTCCAATTTGAAACAAGTTAGTATAGGAGAGAGACAGAGAGACAGACAGAGAGAGAGAAACAGGTTGTGTCTAAGCTGTGATCTCTTTTCCCATAGGCTGTCCTTGTTACTCTTTCACCGCCACGGTTTGATCGGAATTCATGGCCGGGGCCTCGGCAGGTTTGACCTCGTCTGCGGGGGCTGCGGGGGCTGCGGG